TGTGCCAGGGACTAGGTACATTTCTCTCTAGTAAAGAAGGGCAAAGAATACTCTGGGCTTCATTTTTTAAAAACAAGTGAACTGTGTAATAACACATTTGGTTTATGCAAATAGTACAATAGTAGTGCAAAATGACGTCTGCTCTTCTCACATTGGGAAAACTAGATGTCTTCTTTATCATTGCTTTTAAATACCATGACCATAAAAGCTCTTCCTCATTAAAAAATTTGGCATCTAAATAATAAAACAGCACCCACAGGCCACTGAACAATTGTCTTTGTGCCACAAAATAACTCAAAGTTTCTCACAGTGTTCCACCACCAATCAAGACTTTCATAATTTTTGTTGATAGATCCCATATTTTTGAAAAAAATCTTCAGCATCACTCTATTCATTATTCAGTAGTTTCTCATTTTTAATTTATCAAACATTTCTGCCAAAACCTCTAATCAAAGTGAGATTACTTATGTTCTCCCCCTTCAGGTAATTCTAGCTAAGTTTACAGAAACTTGCTGTTTTAGTTAACTAGTCACCAGTAAACATATTATTTATCAGTTATTTGAAATATTGTAGATAGTGAAACCCATTACCACCTTCTCAGACCTTTAAAGGTGTAGTGTTCCAGTCTTTGAAGCCTACTGATTGTGCTCATGGTTTATCTGGAGAAAAGGGATATATTTCTAGTATATACACCAGGTAAAACCACACAGACACAAGTACATCTTAGCCAACTCTAATTTGGGACCTAAGGATAAAAACTTTTGTTGGGGCACAACACAAAAACCCCCAAAGGGCAAGGGGTTAAATAACAGACATTTTACAGGTGGACAAGTCCTCTGAGAAACGGGAGTCCTCATTCCCTAGCTTTCAGTATACTGATCCTAGCAGCTATGTGAACTCCAAGCATCTAGCTAAGAATTATAAAGCCAGCTGAATCATCACATCTTTATACCAAGTGAAATTACATTTCAAATTTTACTGAAAGAAAAATGTTTAAATATATTTTAAAGTAATGAGACAGTTTCTAGAAATTAGGATAAGAAGCATATATGTTTAAAAACAACAAACACAGACATATACACACATAAGACAAATATATACCTATATACTATCACTAAACACATTTAGAACTTATAAAATATGCTGTGGAATCCATAAAAATCTCACTGGAGAGGCTGCACTATTGTGTTTGGTGGCAAAAAGGTTAGGAACCATTGAGCTATTTATGACTGAAAGACTGAATATATTAAATGAATTTTTAATTAAAGTGCATAGTTTTGACCACATACCAAAATGATATAATAACTTAATATGACTTGAACGTTTGAATTAGCTTTAAGAATATCTAGCCCATGGTTCCCAACATTTTTACCAGCAGTACTGCCTTAGCCCAGGTTCCTTAGAAAATAGAGCCTGAGAGACAAAAGGTTATATGCTAACATTTTATTAAGGGAGTACAATTCAGGGAAGCAAGAGTCAAGGAAAGGAGGTGTGAGACAGGAAAGGAAGGAGAGCAAATATAAGGAATGACAGAGCTGGCAGAGGTAATTGTTTGGTCCTGCTGAAAGCCTTCAGAGAGACCATATATTTCTGAACTGTGGAAGGAGTAATTAGAAGGGGATTTTTCTGCTAGTTCCTTTCTCACATTGGTGTGTTTGCCCTAATAAGATGTTATTTCCCCCACTCTTCCTGTTGCACAAATCCAGTAGCCCTACTGCTTCTCATGTCTCAGTGGCGACAAGGAAATCCAAAGGTAGAGGAGAGAGGCTATACAGCAACATGCAGGGCATTGGTTGACTTGTACCCATGTCAACACAAAGGACTAGGAGCAGCCACTATAGCCAATCTCTCAGTCTGGAGCAGGGGTGTTAATAACAGGACCCAGCTCCAACCCATGGGAATAGTTCACACCACTGCGTAGGCAACTATAGCCACACAACAAGCAGGTGAGTATATCTAGGGTGGCAAATCAAATACAGTCCAACTCTTGGCACTATGTAGATCCAATAGTACTCTCTTTTGGCATCTGGTCTCACCTGGGAACATGATGATATGATATACTCAATTCTTTTCTGAGGGGAGAGGTCCAAATCCAGTCCTTCAAAGAGGGGTAGCCAGTTGCAGTCTCCCAAAAAGACATAGAAAGGATTAGTAAATGAAAATTAAGTCCCTGCTTGTTCCTACTAGTCCTGGAACCCATAATGTATGCTCATCATCTCCCTCCTCCACCCATTTCGGAATGAAGAATATCAAAATAGATTTCAGAACAAAGAATGATAACATATAAAGGAAGCTCATTTCATAATGATAAATGAGTCATTTCATCAAGAGGAAATAACAATCCTGAATGTTTATGCACCTAATATTAGAGCTTAAAAATGGAAGAAATCCACAAACATAGTTAGAGATTTCAGCACTTATCTCTCAGTAGTTGATATAGAATGAGTAGGAAATCAATTAGCATATAGAAGACCTGAACAATTCTATCAACCAACTTGACCTAATTGTTATTTATAGGACAGTCTACCCGACAAGAACAGAGTACATATTATTTTTAGACGCACACAGAAGATTCACTAAGATAAACCATATTCTAGTCCATAAAACAAGTCTCAATAAATTTAAATGGACTCAAACCATCAAAATGTGTTCTCTGACCACAATGTGATTAAATTAGAAACCAATAATAGAAAAATAGGAAATTTCACAAATACTTATAGAAATCCATTTCTAAATAACAGAAGCACAAGGGAAATTATAAAATATTTTTAATTGGATGATACTGAAAACAAAAGATCAAAATCTGTGGAACACAGCTAAAGAAGTCCTTATAAGGAAATTTATCACATTACATGCTTATTTTAGAAAAGAAGAAAGTTATTGTATCAGGAACTGTATTTTCACTTGAAGAAATTCAAACCAAAGTAAACAGAAAGTAAACAAAAACAATAAAGAGCGGAAATAAATGAAATAGAAAATGGTAGAGAAAATCAGTGAAACTGAAGACTGGTTCTTTGAGAAAATCAATAACATTGATAAACCTCTAGCCATATTAATCATGAAGAAAAGAAGATAGAAATTACCAATATCAGGAATGAGAAAGGGACATCACTACAGACCCCACAGACATTAAAAGGATGATAAAGGAATGTCATGAACAACTTTATGCCAATACATTTGACAAGTTAGATGAAGTGGACAAATTCCTCAAAATAACAAACTACCAAAGCTCATTTGAAAACAAAGCGATAACCTGAACATCTTTCTTTTTTTTAAATTTTTTTTTTTAAGATTGGCACCTGAGTTAACATCTCTTGCCAATCTTCTTTTTTTTCTTCTTCTCCTCCCCCACAAAGCCCCCCAGTACATAGTTGTATATTCTAGTTGTAGATCCTTTTGGTTGTGCTATGTGGGATGCCACCTCAGCATGGCCTGATGAGTGGTGCCATGTCCGTGCCCAGGATCCAAACAAGTGAAACCCTGGACCACCAAAGCAGAGCACGCAACTTAACCACTTGGCCACAAGGCCAGCCCCTACCTGAAGATCCTTACAGCTGTGAAATATAAATTGAATTTGTTGTTTAAAACCTTACCACAAGGAAAACTTAGTCCAGATGCCTTGATAGGTAAATTCTACCAAACATTGAAGGAAGTAATAATACTATTTCTGCAAAAACTGCTCCAGAAAGTTGAAGTGAAAGGAACACTTCATGAGGCCGACATCACCCTAAGACCAAACCAGACAGAGACATTACATGAAAAGTAAACTACAGACCAGTGTCTCTCATGAACATAGACATAAAAGTCCTTAACAAAATTCTAACAAATTGAATCCAGCAATATATAAAAAGGATAGCTCATCGCTAAGTGGGAGTGGAGAGCACTGGCATCTTTGAGAAGCCTAATGCTGCCTGCGCTCTCTGATGAAGTTGTTGGCAACAACAGGGAGATGATGCCATGGAACTGGGCTCCCTAATATCAGTGAGGATACAGAAACCAGTTGGCAGCACTTAATTCTCAGATGCAAGGAGCACATTTTATAGTAAAGACCAGCAAGGCTGGAAGGCAACCAGGATGTCTTTCTTTGTAATTCATCATCTTCCCTTGTTACTACAAAGTCCAGAACACCATTTAAATTTCCAAAGAGAAAACCTCACTAAAAAGAATCATGGAAATTACTTCATGAACTTAGGTCTCTTCTTTTTTAACAGTAGGTACATTTAAAATGTAAGGAGAATATGAACTAACATAAAAACTCTTCCGGCATGATATCTTTTGTTCTTGTTTTATAATTATTGCAAAGATTTTTATAATCTAGATTTTAATGTTTTTAGTCCTTCCGTTTCTAGGGTTGGTGAAAATTTTCCTGTTTAAAATTAGTCGTAAGACTGGATAAAATTCTAATGCCTTTTCAGTTTTTGTTTGATTTCATTAAGAGATTCAACGTATATAGGGTTAGAGCTACAAAGGGTAGCTGTACAAGGTGGCCCTGTATTGTGTCCTTATGTGGATAGATTCTTTCTCCTGTAGTACCTTCTGCTTAGGGACTGTTTATTTTTGCTAATTCTTTGTTATCTATAAAGGGCCAGGAAATAAATTTAAATGAGGGAAAATACAGGATAAAAAGAGTATATAGATCTTTTTGAGACCTCTGGAGCTCTCCAGCAATCCATGAAAATTATATAAATTCCCTTTTGATGAAATTCTGAAATTTTTAGCATTGATCGGCCTCAGTTGTAGGTACTTTAGCAACGATGTATGAATTTGTTTAGTTCATTTAAATAAAGTTGTTAAAGTAAATATATGAGAGAGATGTGAGAGAGAGGTATTTTTTGGTTTCAATTATTTAAACTTTATGGTGGAGATGAAATTATCATCAAGTAATTTTTTTTAAATAATGTTTCTAATATTCTAATCTAGTCACAAATTTGTACAGTAGTAAACAGATTAGTCAACAGGTTTTTTGTGTTTTTTAAAATTCTTTTCACTCTTTTTTTCAGCTACGTTGACAAGCTATTCTGAAAACGTGGAACGCACAAAATATGTTGGGGAAAGCAGTAAAGAATTAGGATCTGGAGGAAACCTAAAGCCTTGGCAGTCTCAAAAATCCAGCATGGATTCCTGTTTGTATCGAGTAGATGAAAACATGACGGCTTCCACCTATAGTCTGAATAAGATCCCAGACAGGAATTTGGAAACAGTTTTATCTCAATCGGTACAGTCTATTCCTCTGTATCTTATGCCACGGCCAAATTCAGTAGCAGGTAAGGTTTCTCAAAGAATGATCATTTTACCAGCATATACATTGAAATGAAAATAAATTCTACTCTAATAGTATTTAAATTTTCCATTCATTTCCTTTGACTAAGCTACTCTTTTGTGTTTGGGTGTTATACATGGGCATATCTTTTTAACCTAGGGGAAGGCTCGAGTTCCTCAAGTGATCGTTTAGTTCTGCTCCCCAAAAATATAAAAGCACACATAAAATCAGAAACAGAAGCTATAAAGCATATTGTCAAGCTGCTAAAAAAGTCTTTTTTTCTCACATCAGAAGTCTTTGAAAGGATTTCAGTTGGAGATTTTAGTTTTTAAAAACTTTAGTTTTAAAAAACATTATTAAATTGAAGCATTATTTCAGTAGAATTTGTATTAGCAGAAATCATCATCCATAGTTTGAAGGAGTGGCAGGCAGGCAACAATTCAACGTCCCTATTCCAAGAGCTCAATATTTTCACAGTATCCTGGCTATCTTATCGTAGAAGGATCGTCAGGTCCCTACACTGCTAAAGAACAACTCAGACAACCTCTAGCAGTTTTAGTCGTAAAGAAATGATACAGAAAGTTAAGTGGCTGGAGGATGGAGCCATTATTCTTTAGCAGCTGTTCAGAATTGATGTCAAGGGATATTTTTTATACAGCTAAGTTGCTATTTAATAATTCAGACCAGGAGCTTTGGGAGAATAGTTGAGCATTCTGACATTTTCAAAATGTATCATCATCTGGACTTCATCCATACTACAAAATCAAAGTTATGTTTGTCTTTCTACTTGCCTGGTGAATAGTTTTGTTCATGCATAGGTTTATCTCACTGATGCAAGATAAGAAAGTTCTTATTGTAGTCAAGAGCACTTATTTCCCAGATGTAACTATTTATGTTATGCAGATAATAGTGTGATGCTTCTTGCCTTTCCCATTTTCCTTTTGTACCTTTTCTAAACCATTAATCTTTTTCTGTCTTCTGGGAGATCATCAGCATCTGTCATCAGATGTGATTATGGAGAGAATGGCTCATCTGGAAGATCAGTAACTGCATAAGATTTTAGTATTAATTTTTCAAGATTATTCACTTTCATAGAGTGACAGAAAATTTTCTCTCCTAGTTTCTGTTAAATATGTTGATCCCTAACCATGATGTCATATTTGAATCCTAGAATGCTATAACTTATGAGAAAGTGCTAGGCAAATTCAGTCTTTCCAGAAGAGAAGCATTTAAATCCTTGCCTATATAAAAATGGGGAAATATAGCTACCAGCTTTAATGGTACATCCCAATTTACTTGCTAACTGAGCTGCAGTGATTTCTAAGAAAATTCTGGCTCTATTATTTGAAAAGGGAGGTGAGCACTTAGTAGGAGATAGAGGTATGAGGTTCTCTTGTCTTCTTTTTAGTTTGCTGAAGAGATTATAAAATACTTTGCCGTTCTTGAGCATAAATGTCTATAGGGATTTATTATTTTACACTATGCAAATACTAACCTTAGGGTTTACAAAGAGTTCTCCAGGACTAATTAGCCAGATATGATTCTTCCCTCGCTGTCTCTAAAGCTTTCTAACACTATTGTTTTCCAGAAATTAGTATAAGGCCAATTCTGAAAGTATCAATGTCATCAATTATTTCTCTAACCAATATATATTGAATAAATTGTGTAATTCTACTGCAGAGAATAGAACGCAGGTTTCTATGTCAGGTATTTTAATCACCAGATAAAAATATCATTGGAAATATGTTAAAAAACAATTTTACTAAGCAAGCAACATTTTATCAGGTGAAGAGTACATTCTTCCATTACATGGATTGTAAGATTTCAGTTTATTTAGAATTCTATCTTGTAAGAGCTGATATTCTAGTTATTTAATAACATCTTTTAAATTGTAATCAACTTTCAGGGAATTGTCATTCAGTTTGTGAATTTTTTGAGCTTCTAAACTACCTCTCATGGTGTCTTTTTTGCTAACTGCCATTTAACAACTTTACTACTTATAGGCATCAACATAATTGTGGCTACAGTTGTACCTCAGTAAGTTTTTGCATGTCAATTGGAACAGTCACTGAAGCAAATATTAAGATAAGAATTTTATCTAGAATTACAAGAGGGAATTTTAATTGACATCCATTGTTGTTTTTGTAACATACTCAGCTACGATGTGGTAAATGCTATAATACAGTAATTTATAAATTTCCATAGGAACACAGAAGAGGAAGCATCTGAGTGCAAAGGGTGAGAGTAGAGAGGAATAAAAGACATCATAGAGAAGGACGAATAAGAATTCACCAGAAGGACTAATAGAAAAAAGAGGAAGGAGGCACCAAGAAGTTAAAGAACTTGGCACATTATTGGTATTTCTGCATGACTAGAACCTGGGGTACAAGAAAGGAATGGTAGAAAATGATGTTGAAAGGTGATACCAAGGACCTTATGTACTCTGATGATGAGTGTTGGGTTTATTTTGTGGATAGAAAGCAGAATAAGCAGGAGCCACATTATCAGATTTTCAGTTTAGAAAAATGACTATAGAGGCCAGCCCGGTGGGGTAGTGGTTAAGTTTCTGTGCTCACTTTGGTGGCCCGGCGTTCGCAGGTTCAGATCCCAGGCACAGACCTAGCAGCATTCACTGAGCCACCCTATGGTGGCATCCCGCATAAAGTAGAGGAAAATGGGCACAGATGTTAGCCCAGCGACAATCTTCCTCCCCAAAAAAAAAAGAAAAGAGAAGAAAAATGACTGATGTGTATTCATATGGGATAGACTGAAGGAGGAAAGGCTGGAGTTAGAGAAAATAGTTAAAAGCTTCTGGTATTGTGCAAAATTATAGGGGATGAATTGCCAGGTTAAAGGCTGTATTAATAGAGTTGAAAGAGTGGCTTAAGAGACTTTTCTTGTTTTTACCTTAAAAAATAACTTTTATCAGGTTTTTTTTAAATACAGGGAGATACAAAGAAGAAAACAAACGAAAAGAATGAGCTATAATCTCCTTGCCCAGCGATTCCTGCTGACATTCTAGAAATTAAAGATTGATATATATTACATAATATATAAAGCAAATGAAAATTCAAATTCAAACAAAAAATACAAAAACAAAAGGAAAAGCGGCTCTCCCCTCTCTGCCTAATGCCTATCTCCAGAGGTTAATATTACTTATGATTTTTTTAAATAGATCTATTATACATATAATATCCATATTATATGTGTAATATATAATATACGTTATATGACTATAATGTATGTTAGAAACATGTAAGGTCAAAAATCGATAGGATTTATACAAGAGAAATGAAAACATGTTCTTGGAGCAGTTAAGTTAGCACGCTCTGCTTCGGCGGCCCAGGGTTTCCCCGGTTCGGATCCTGGGCATGGACATGGCACTGCTCATCAAGCCATGCTGAGGCGGCATTCCACGTGCCATAACTAGAAGGACCCACAACTAAAAATATGCAGCTATGTATCGGGGGGCTTTGGGGAGAAAAAGGAAAAATAAAATCTTTAAAAATACGTATGTTCTTACAAAGATGTGCACGAATCATCATAGCAGCTTTATTTGTAATAGCCAAAAATTGTGAACATCCCAAATGCCCATCAACAGGTGAGTGGATAAACAAATGATAGTCTGTCCTTACAATGGATACTACCCAGCGATAAAAAGAAATGAACTGTTGGTACTGCAACAACATATATGAATCTCAGGATAGTTATGCTGAATGAAAGAAGCCAGATAAAAAAAGAGTACATACTATATGATTCCATTTATATAAAATCCTAGAAATGCAAACTAATCTATCGGCAGAGTGCCTCTCTTGTAATGCAGCCATCTCCATGTGCAGGTATCGCCAACCCTTTTTGTATTGCCCTGTGGGAGTTGGGGCTCAGAGAACTGGCACAAATGTTGATAGTCTGGCTACTGCTATTCCTCTGAGAAATAAACTGTCTTTCATCTCTGACCTAGATGTCTAATTTCTTCTTCCAGCATCCAGGCGTGTTAGCTTAGAAGTAGGATAAAATATCAGATCCTTGACAGTTCTTGACAATGAGATACTACTATACCCATACCCACAAATAAAAGTTAAAATGGGAATTCTGAGTATTAGTGAGGATGTGATGCAGTTGAAATTGTCATATGGTGCCGATGGGTGTATATTAATAAATTGGTACTATCACTTTGTAAAGCTGCTTGTTGAGATCTATTAAAGGTGTATAAAGCTGTATGCATGTTACCTACAAAACCAAGCAATTAGACTCCTGTGTAGGACGACCTTCAAAAGTAAGTCCTTATGTTCATTAAAAGAGAAATATAAGAATGTTCATATGAGTTTTATTCATAATACCTGAAAGCTGAAAATCATCCAAATACCCATCAACAGTAGAGTCAGATAAATAAATTGTATACAACGATAAAAAAATTGTCCGTACTACTCTTACAGACACCATGGAGAGTACATATCGTATGAAGTATATATATTTATATAAAGCTCAGAAAAAACAGACAAAACTATGGCACTTCTATGGTGATAGAACTGAAGTAGTGGTTACCTTTGGCAGGAATATCACTTAAGGAAGCCTGCTGTATCTTGATCTGAATGGTGGTTGTCTGCGTATATACATATATAAAAATTTATTGAGCTATACACTTAAGATTTATATACTTTATGTAGGTAAATCACACCTCACTTTAAAAAAATGTATAAGCTCCTGTCTTTCTAGAAGGATTTTTCCTTGTTTTTGGTTTAGAAATAGCAGTCCTAAGCAATGTAACTAGATCTTTGAAGAAATACCTGTTTTTAGTGTAGATTAAAAATAACCTAATAACTTCAACAAATAGATAATTTACTTAAAGTGTTCCATTTATTGAGAGCATAAACCTAGGGTAAGTACCCAAAATGGCCAGAAATGATTCTAATTGCCACCTTAGTTTAGTGGTAGCCTAGATAAAGTCCCAAAGCAAAAGTTTTTATGTGTATTTTCTTGATCCTTTTTTTTAAAACCAGTATA